TTTCTGCATATATGGATGTCTTTAGATGAATACTGTTTAGCATTCATATATGCACACTCCGATGCTTCCACACGTCATGCGATGACCAGGCAACACAAATCTGAGAATAAAGAGAGGGGTGGACAGACTGCATATTATTAGGTTGCCAGAAAGCCTTTGACACAGTACCACATAAGAGACTAGTGCACAAACTAGAGATGCAGGCAGAAGTGAAAGGGAAGGTATTCCACTGGATAAGGGAGTACCTAAGCAACAGGACACAACGAGTCACCGTGAGGGGTGAGGTCTCGGAGTGGCGAGGCGTCACCAGTGGAGTCCCACAGGGCTCAGTCCTTGGACCTATACTGTTTCTGATATACCTAAATGATATATCAGAAACTAAATGATTCAGTTCCCTGAGGGAATTGAATCATTCCGCTCATTGTTTGCTGATGATGCAAAAATTATGAGGAGAAACTTCCTCTGTCAGGAGTAAGATAGAGGAAGATAGCATGAGGCTACAAGATGACCTAGACAAACTGAAGGAATGGTACAACAAATTGCTATTAAAGTTCAACCCAAGTAAATATTAGGTAATGAAAGTAGGCGGTGGGAATAGGACAGCAACATGATACCGAATGGGAGATGAAGTCCTCCATGGAACGGACAGAGAGAAAGATCTGGGAGTTGGTACCAAACCTGTCTCTTGAAGCCCCACATCAAAAGAATAACATCTGCGGCGTATGCAAGGCTGGCTAACATCAAAACTGCCTTCAGGAACCTGTGTAAGGAATCATTAAGAACCTTGTATACCACATATATAAAACCAATCCTGGAGTATGCGGCCCCAGCATGGAGCCCGTACCTTGTCAAGCACAAGACGAAGCTGGAGACAGTTCAGAGGTATGCACTAGGCAAGTCCCAGAACTAAGTGACATGAGTTACGAGGAAAGGCTGCGTGAACTGCACCTCACGTCCCTGGAAGGATGGATTATTTAACACGGGTGGTACACAGCCCCGCTCCTGTGCCAGGTAAGTCCACGACGGGCTCACCATAGCCCGTGCTACTTGGAACTTTTTGTTCCCAGTAGCTGAATCTATAACAACACCAACAAACGCACGCACAAGGGGACACAGGTGGAAGCTGAGTACCCAAAACGTCGTCGTCTTTTCCTGGACCATTCTCAAGTCACAATAGACTTGAGAATGGTCCAGGATGGACCGAAACGTCGTCGTCCCTTCACCTTCTAGTGTGTGGTCTGGTCAACATACTTCAGTCACGTTATTGTGACTCATCGCCTGCTAATATAACGTTATATATATATAATGTGGAATTATATAACGCGACCAGGCAGTGTCACGGCTCTCCTGGCCCCACCGACGCAACCCGTCCTCCTAACAGAAATACGTCGCATTTTGACGTATACTCTACCTGAGAGCCTCAAAAAACTGTCGTACTAGAAAATGGTAGCGATTCGCGAAATTGACATAATGTCCCGTATTATGTTTGTGTGGGTCGTCTGGAAGGTTAGGTTAGGGCACTTTAGCACGATTGTTTCTTGACGTGCGGGACGCTGGCGAGAACAGGTTGATTCATCACACGTCCTGCTGGCTATAACATACTTGACTATGTATAAAAAAAATCAAATACATTAATTCTCGAGACTTTAAATGGAACACAAACCCTATACAAGTTGTTAATAATAAATTCACTTAATAATAGATCTAAACTAACATGGTTTAGGTCGTTGCCTAATGGAAGAAAAACTGCTCCTTAGGCTATATATAAAGATAGTTTAGGCCAATTTCTGTCATCTTCTTACTTGGATATATTACATGAAAGTTGACCGGTGACTGATGAGTAATTGGGTGTGAGTAGATATCTTTTGGTCAGTTTATCCTTAACCTTTCTACTCCAGTAGAATCATATTGGTGTGAAGTAAATGATAAGAGAGATTACTACCTACTGGGTTGGGTGTTAAGACCACCCGTCCTCTTAAAAATAACGTCACTTTTGGCTGGTATGCGCACTATGGCCAAATTTGGACGTAATTTGAAATGAAATCGACTCACAAAAGTGACGTACTGTTCCGTTTTCTGTTTGAGTCGTCCGGTTTACTCTGCAAGGTTAGAAGAGGATTCTTTCCATTACCGATTTTCATAACGTTATGAAACTTTATGAGAATTTCCTGCCCACCTAACCTATCAGAGGACCCTTAACTTACTGTTGTTGAAAAAAAAATCCCAAATTTATATTCATTTTTTTTTTAATTTTCAAATTACGTCCATATTCGGCCATACGGACAAACGGCCAAAAGCGACGTTTTTTTCTAAGAGGACAGGTTGAACAAAGACGGTCAACGTACAAGCTGCTATGTTCACTCACAGTATGAGTGACACTGCCCAATACACTCATCCTTCGAGATAAGATTTTAACTAAAAAAGACTGTCAGCCCAGTTAGCAAAATAATGGGTCTGAGGTTTGCTTAAACCTCCGACCCTCACTGTTGTACTTACCTATTTGTACTCATCTATTTGTGCTTGCGGGGGTTGCGCTTCGGCTCTTCGGTCCCGTCTCTCAACTGTCAATCAACCAATGTAAAGCGTGCTAGTGGCTTTACAAGACTGTAATTACCATATTTGTATCCTCACATTCCTTATGTACATTCTTGTATATGCATAAATAAATAAATAAATAAATAAATGTAAAAAATCCTGAGCCATTTGTGCTCTGTCATATCTACATTTAAAAACTGTGTATGGAGTCAGCCTCCACCACATCACTCCCTAGTGCATTCCATTTATTAACTACTCTCACACTAAAAAAATGATTTCTAAATTTTCTTATGGCTCCTCTGGGCACTCAATTACCCCCCCCCCTAGTGCGTGTGTCCCTTGTGCTTAAAAAATGTCTTTATCTACCCCTCTCATTTCCTTTGAGAATCTCGTATGTGGTGATCATGTCTCCCCTAACCCTTCTTTCTTCCAGCGACGTGAGGTTTAGTTCCAGTAGTCTCTCCTCGTAGCTCATACCCCGCAACTCGGGCTCTAGTCTGATGGCAAATCTCTGAACCGTTTCCAATTTAGCCCTGTGCTTGATGAGATACGGACTCCATACTGGAGTTGCATACTCCAGGACTGGTCTGATATACGTGGTATACAAGGTTCTAACTTAGCTTAACCACCTCAAACTTGGCTCGTGTGATATCGTGAGAGGCAGCGTCCTCTCATGACCCGGTGAGGCTTTCTAATATTCTCAACCATCAATTTTCTCTTACTAGCCAACTACATTCACTAGCGGCTTTGTTTATATCATTTAAGGTTTAACACGGATTAAACTGTTTAAATTACAGCCCCGCTCATGTGTCAGGTAAGTCCACTACGGGCTCACCATAGTCCGTGCTACTTCAAACTTGTTGTTCCAAGTAGCTGAATCTAAAACAATAACAACATGTTTTATTTATTTATTTATATACAAGAAGGTACCTTGGGTTGATGAGAGTAGACAGTATTGATGTTTTTAAAGTCTTGTAAAGCCGCTAGCACGCACAGCGTTTCGGGCAGACACGAGAGTTTCAGCACGGGTTAAACTAGCTATCAATCTGCTATTTCAAGTTGATGGGAATGACAATTGTTGTAGTAGATTAGCAAGTGTCATCTACTTTCGTGGATTATTTTCATCCGCACGAAAGGTTATCTGAACATCTCGCCGGTCCTGTACGAAAGGTACGAACAGTTTGTTTACCTCGAGCGAGGTCGTTTCGTACACGCGTCTGTCTCCTCGTTGTGTCGTGCGGTTCGTATACCTTTACGTACGGTACAACCCCCCTCATTCTTAGGTAATGGTTAAGACACATGAGAAAATATTGAGATCATACAGTGGGATCGAACTCGCGTCCCAGGACTCCCGAGGCACATAGGCACTACCGACTGAACCATGATGAGCTCAATGGTGTTGTTATCCTCTGTGTATGTTCGTTGACTCATTAAAGTTACTGTAGTTTCCTCGTGCGTTAAGACACGTGTTTGGTGGATTTAAGGGGATAGTAAGACGTATACGAGATAATGGACAGATAATGGGCTTGGTATTTTTAGATGGGGGAGTTTCATCCAGTATCTTGAGGTTATCTTGAGATGATTTCGGGGCTTTAGTGTCCCCGCGGCCCGGCCTCGACCAGGCCTCCACCCCCAGGAAGCAGCCCGTGACAGCTGACTAACACCCAGGTACCTATTTTACTGCTAGGTAACAGGGGCATAGGGTGAAAGAAACTCTGCCCATTGTTTCTCGTCGGCGCCCGGGATCGAACCCAGGACTACAGGATCACAAGTCCAGCGTGCTGTCCGCTCGGCCGACCGGTTCCCTGCATATAGTGACAATGTCTACGTATTATGCAGCCATTGTAACTCTAATATCATTATTGTACTGAAATTTTTATGTAAAAATTTTCCAGTTGTAAATGTAAAAAAAAACATTCACGAAAGCAATTCGGTTTGATTTGACTTGATAACTCATGGCGTGCCGCGGGAATTTCCCCACACTCGATATCCTTTTTATGTTTGATGAGGTATGCAAATTAGGTGTGAAATGGAGAAATGTCGTCCCTGAACACTTGTCCTTCAAGAGTGTGGTTAAGGATTGGTTTGGGCTCTGTCCTTTGATTCAGTACTCTGTTGAGAGAGTCCAGAGCAGTAGAGCTGCTGAGAGAGTCAAAAGCAGTAGAGCTGTTGAGAGTCAAGAGCAGTAGAGCTGTTGAGAGAGCCGAGAGCAGTAGAGCTGTTGAGAGAGTCAAGGGCAGTAGAGCTGTTGAGAGTCAAAAGCAGTAGAGTTGTTGAGAGAGTCAAAAGCAGTAGAGCTGTTGAGAGTCAAGAGCAGTAGAGCTGTTGAGAGAGTCAAGAGCAGTAGAGCTGTTGAGAGTCAAGAGCAGTAGAGCCGTTGAGAGAGTCAAGAGCAGTAGAGCTGTTGAGAGAGTCAAGGGCAGTAGAGCTGTTGAGAGTCAAAAGCAGTAGAGTTGTTGAGAGAGTCAAAAGCAGTAGAGCTGTTGAGAGTCAAGAGCAGTAGACCTGTTGAGAGAGTCAAGAGCAGTAGAGCTGTTGAGAGAGTCAAGAGCACTAGAGCTGTTGAGAGAGTCCAGAGCACTAGAGCTGTTGAGAGAGTCAAGAGCAGTAGAACTGTTGAGAGAGTCAAGAGCACTAGAGCTGTTGAGAGAGTCAAGAGCAGTAGAACTGTTGAGAGAGCAAAGAGCACTAGAGCTGTTGAGAGAGTCAAGAGCAGTAGAACTGTTGAGAGAGTCAAGAGCACTAGAGCTGTTGAGAGAGTCAAGAGCAGTAGAACTGTTGAGAGAGCAAAGAGCACTAGAGCTGTTAAGAGAGTCAAGAGCAGTAGAACTGTTGAGAGAGTCATGAGCACTAGAGCTGTTGAGAGAGTCAAGAGCAGTAGAACTGTTGAGAGAGCAAAGAGCACTAGAGCTGTTGAGAGAGTCAAGAGCAGTAGAACTGTTGAGAGAGTCAAGAGCACTAGAGCTGTTGAGAGAGTCAAGAGCAGTAGAACTGTTGAGAGAGCAAAGAGCACTAGAGCTGTTAAGAGAGTCAAGAGCAGTAGAACTGTTGAGAGAGTCAAGAGCACTAGAGCTGTTGAGAGAGTCAAGAGCAGTAGAACTGTTGAGAGAGTCAAGAGCACTAGAGCTGTTGAGAGAGTCAAGAGCAGTAGAACTGTTGAGAGAGTCAAGAGCAGTAGAACTGTTGAGAGAGCAAAGAGCACTAGAGCTGTTGAGAGAGTCAAGAGCAGTAGAACTGTTGAGAGAGTCAAGAGCACTAGAGCTGTTGAGAGAGTCAAGAGCAGTAGAACTGTTGAGAGAGCAAAGAGCACTAGAGCTGTTGAGAGAGTCAAGAGCAGTAGAACTGTTGAGAGAGTCAAGAGCACTAGAGCTGTTGAGAGAGTCAAGAGCAGTAGAACTGTTGAGAGAGTCAAGAACAGTAGAACTGTTGAGAGAGCAAAGAGCACTAGAGCTGTTGAGAGAGTCAAGAGCAGTAGAACTGTTGAGAGAGTCAAGAGCACTAGAGCTGTTGAGAGAGTCAAGAGCAGTAGAACTGTTGAGAGAGCAAAGAGCACTAGAGCTGTTGAGAGAGTCAAGAGCAGTAGAGCTGTTGAGAGAGTCAAGAGCAGTAGAGCTGTTGAGAGAGTCAAGAGCAGTAGAGCTGTTGAGAGAGTCAAGAGCAGTAGAGTTGTTGAGAGAGCCGAGAGCAGTAGAACTGTTGAGAGAGTCAAGAGCACTAGAGCTGTTGAGAGAGTCAAGTGCAGTAGAGCTGTTGAGAGAGCCGAGAGCTGTAGAACTGTTGAGAGAGTCAAGAGCACTAGAGCTGTTGAGAGAGTCAAGAGCAGTAGAACTGTTGAGAGAGCAAAGAGCACTAGAGCTGTTGAGAGAGTCAAGAGCACTAGAACTGTTGAGAGAGCAAAGAGCAGTAGAGCTGTTGAGAGAGTCAAGAGCACTTAGAGCTGTTGAGAGAGTCAAGAGCAGTAGAAATGTTGAGAGAGTCAAGAGCACTAGAGCTGTTGAGAGAGTCAAGAGCAGTAGAGCTGTTGAGAGAGTCAAGAGCACTTGAAGCTGTTGAGAGAGTCAAGAGCACTTAGAGCTGTTGAGAGAGTCAAGAGCAGTAGAGCTGTTGAGAGAGTCAAGAGCAGTAGAGCTGTTGAGAGAGTCAAGAGCAGTAGAGCTGTTGAGAGAGCCGAGAGCAGTAGAGCTGTTGAGAGAGTCAAGAGCACTAGAGCTGTTGAGAGAGCAAAGAGCAGTAGAACTGTTGAGAGAGCAAAGAGCACTAGAGCTGTTGAGAGAGTCAAGAGCAGTAGAGCTGTTGAGAGAGTCAAGAGCACTAGAGCTGTTGAGAGAGTCAAGAGCAGTAGAGCTGTTGAAAGAGTCAAGAGCACTAGAGCTGTTGAGAGAGTTAAGAGCACTTAGAGCTGTTGAGAGAGTCAAGAGCACTAGAGCTGTTGAGAGAGTCAAGAGCACTAGAACTGTTGAGAGAGTCAAGAGCAGTAGAGCTGTTGAGAGAGTCAAGAGCAGTAGAGCTGTTGAGAGAGTCAAGAGCAGTAGAGCTGTTGAGAGAGTCAAGAGCAGTAGAGCTGTTGAGAGAGTCAAGAGCAGTAGAGCTGTTGAGAGAGTCAAGAGCAGTAGAACTGTTGAGAGAGTCAAGAGCAGTAGAGCTGTTGAGAGAGTCAAGAGCAGTAGAGCTGTTGAGAGAGTCAAGAGCAGTAGAACTGTTGAGAGAGTCAAGAGCAGTAGAACTGTTGAGAGAGCAAAGAGCACTAGAGCTGTTGAGAGAGTCAAGAGCAGTAGAACTGTTGAGAGAGTCAAGAGCACTAGAGCTGTTGAGAGAGTCAAGAGCAGTAGAACTGTTGAGAGAGCAAAGAGCACTAGAGCTGTTGAGAGAGTCAAGAGCAGTAGAGCTGTTGAGAGAGTCAAGAGCAGTAGAGCTGTTGAGAGAGTCAAGAGCAGTAGAGCTGTTGAGAGAGTCAAGAGCAGTAGAGTTGTTGAGAGAGCCGAGAGCAGTAGAACTGTTGAGAGAGTCAAGAGCACTAGAGCTGTTGAGAGAGTCAAGTGCAGTAGAGCTGTTGAGAGAGCCGAGAGCTGTAGAACTGTTGAGAGAGTCAAGAGCACTAGAGCTGTTGAGAGAGTCAAGAGCAGTAGAACTGTTGAGAGAGCAAAGAGCACTAGAGCTGTTGAGAGAGTCAAGAGCACTAGAACTGTTGAGAGAGCAAAGAGCAGTAGAGCTGTTGAGAGAGTCAAGAGCACTTAGAGCTGTTGAGAGAGTCAAGAGCAGTAGAAATGTTGAGAGAGTCAAGAGCACTAGAGCTGTTGAGAGAGTCAAGAGCAGTAGAGCTGTTGAGAGAGTCAAGAGCACTTGAAGCTGTTGAGAGAGTCAAGAGCACTTAGAGCTGTTGAGAGAGTCAAGAGCAGTAGAGCTGTTGAGAGAGTCAAGAGCAGTAGAGCTGTTGAGAGAGTCAAGAGCAGTAGAGCTGTTGAGAGAGCCGAGAGCAGTAGAGCTGTTGAGAGAGTCAAGAGCACTAGAGCTGTTGAGAGAGCAAAGAGCAGTAGAACTGTTGAGAGAGCAAAGAGCACTAGAGCTGTTGAGAGAGTCAAGAGCAGTAGAGCTGTTGAGAGAGTCAAGAGCACTAGAGCTGTTGAGAGAGTCAAGAGCAGTAGAGCTGTTGAAAGAGTCAAGAGCACTAGAGCTGTTGAGAGAGTTAAGAGCACTTAGAGCTGTTGAGAGAGTCAAGAGCACTAGAGCTGTTGAGAGAGTCAAGAGCACTAGAACTGTTGAGAGAGTCAAGAGCAGTAGAGCTGTTGAGAGAGTCAAGAGCAGTAGAGCTGTTGAGAGAGTCAAGAGCAGTAGAGCTGTTGAGAGAGTCAAGAGCAGTAGAGCTGTTGAGAGAGTCAAGAGCAGTAGAGCTGTTGAGAGAGTCAAGAGCAGTAGAACTGTTGAGAGAGTCAAGAGCAGTAGAGCTGTTGAGAGAGTCAAGAGCAGTAGAGCTGTTGAGAGAGTCAAGAGCAGTAGAACTGTTGAGAGAGTCAAGAGCAGTAGAGCTGTTGAGAGAGTCAAGAGCAGTAGAGCTGTTGAGAGAGCCGAGAGCAGTAGAGCTGTTGAGAGAGTCAAGAGCACTAGAGCTGTTGAGAGAGCAAAGAGCAGTAGAACTGTTGAGAGAGCAAAGAGCACTAGAGCTGTTGAGAGAGTCAAGAGCAGTAGAGCTGTTGAAAGAGTCAAGAGCACTAGAGCTGTTGAGAGAGTTAAGAGCACTTAGAGCTGTTGAGAGAGTCAAGAGCACTAGAGCTGTTGAGAGAGTCAAGAGCACTAGAACTGTTGAGAGAGTCAAGAGCAGTAGAGCTGTTGAGAGAGTCAAGAGCAGTAGAGCTGTTGAGAGTCAAGAGCAGTAGAGCTGTTGAGAGAGTCAAGAGCAGTAGAGCTGTTGAGAGAGTCAAGAGCAGTAGAGCTGTTGAGAGAGTCAAGAGCAGTAGAGCTGTTGAGAGAGTCAAGAGCAGTAGAGCTGTTGAGAGAGTCAAGAGCAGTAGAGCTGTTGAGAGAGTCAAGAGCAGTAGAACTGTTGAGAGAGTCAAGAGCAGTAGAGCTGTTGAGAGAGTCAAGAGCAGTAGAGCTGTTGAGAGAGTCAAGAGCAGTAGAACTGTTGAGAGAGTCAAGAGCAGTAGAGCTGTTGAGAGAGTCAAGAGCAGTAGAGCTGTTGAGAGAGTCAAGAGCAGTAGAGCTGTTGAAATATTTTAGACTTGACGAGAGCCACTATACTGTGGTTGTTCTGAACACGTTTTACTTGTTTTAATCAACTGTTGAGCTAAAAATAATTAGGACAAAATTTCTCCAATAATGTATTTTGAAAAGCATCTTGGGTATGGTATTCTCTTAAACTTTTGAGTAATTATGTCCTGTTGTCTTCAGAGACATCAAAGATAGGTCAAATGTTATTATAAGTCTGTTTTGTCGTTGTTAACGTCAGGTCAGAAGATCAGAGTGTACCAGTTAGTATCGTTGTGGTCCGTAAGATGTACGAAATTCTGACCTTAAACAGCAAAATCAGTATATGGAGAAAATGTCCAAGACGTATCTTAGGTGATTTCCAACCAGGCCTCAAGAGCATAGGCCTACACGTGAGGAAATAATCCACAGACATGATGCAGGCGATGAGTCACAATAACGTGGCTGAAGTATGTTGACCAGACCACACACTAGAAATTGAAGGGACGACGACGTTTCGGTCCGTCCTGGACCATTCTCAAGTCGATTGTGTGGTCTGGTCAACACAGACATGATGTTTTTTTTTTCGTCTTAAGGCACTCACCCCATCCAGCTAACAGCATTTCTTTTTTCTCTGGCAATCTCTTGTCACCGGCTATTCTGTTTATGCTAGAAATATTTAATGTTTGAAATGGAATACAAAGTACAAAAGGATGATGTGTGTGATGGTGTGGCAGGTCCCAGAAGTTCATGACATAGTGAACCTCTTCACCAAATCGTTGCTATAATTAAATGCAATGGACTACAAGTGCGATCATTTCAGGAGGGAGGATTGGAATATGATCAAGGCGTGAGAAATGAGTCATTGTATTATTCTAATCCCCTAATTAATCTCCGCCCCCCCGGGTTCATAGCCCCGTCCGGGGCTAGGAGTTGAGCTCGACGCTGTGAGCACATCTAGGTGAGGACACACACACAATAATTATAAGACAGGTATCGCTGGATCAATACTGTCTAGCTCACTCCTCCGGCACAAACTCAAATAACCTTAAGTTGTTACCCTGAAGGTGGACGCTATATATATATATATATATATATATATATATATATGCGGAAAATCCACAGAGAAATATGAAATGAGGTGAACGTTTCGGCTTGTTAAAGCCTCCCCCTATCCCTTCTCCTTAGTCAGTCTGGTGTTGACAATAGGCTTTAACAAGCCGAAACGTTCACCTCATTTCATATTTCTCTGTGGATTTTCCGCATAAAATGATCAGTGTTTTGTGATCGTCAATTGCATATATATATATATATATATATATATATATATATATATATATATATATATATATATATATATATATATATATATATATATATATATATATATATGAATGAAAACTCACACCCCAGAAGTGACTCGAACCCATACTCCCAGAAGCAACGCAACTGGTAACTACAGGGCGCCTTAATCCGCTTGACCATCAGTATGGGTTCGAGTCACTTCTGGGGTGTGAGTTTTCATTCGCATATAGTCCTGGGGACCATTCAGGCTTGTTCGCATTTGTGTTCCTCACGTGTGCCCCAAAGAATGAGGTGATTTGGTGAAATGCTATGCCCAAGATTACCATCCGAGTTGCAGTCGGGGAAGTGGCTTAAATAGCCTCGGCTATCACTTCCTTTTGACGGCCGTGATGGTCAAGCGGATTAAGGCGCCCTGTAGTTACCAGTTGCGTTGCTTCTGGGAGTATGGGTTCGAGTCACTTCTGGGGTGTGAGTTTTCATTCGCATATAGTCCTGGGGACCATTCAGGCTTGTTCGCATTTGTGTTCCTCACGTGTGCCCCAAAGAATGAGGTGATTTGGTGAAATGCTATGCCCAAGATTACCATCCGAGTTGCCGTCGGGGAAGTGGCTTAAATAGCCTCGGCTATCACTTCCTTTTGACGGCCGTGATGGTCAAGCGGATTAAGGCGCCCTGTAGTTACCAGTTGCGTTGCTTCTGGGAGTATGGGTTCGAGTCACTTCTGGGGTGTGAGTTTTCATTCGTGTCGGAAAATCCGACACCATTTAATATATCATACAGATAATAGCTGTATTACCAACAAGTTACCCATAGAAAACGTAACTTGTAGTGGAATTACCGTCTATAGAAAACGGGATATCATCACCACATACTATTATAATTCACCAGCTATTCTGCTGGGAATTATTCTTAAATACATTAGTCTTTGGACTTTACCATCATAAAAACATCTTATATAAATTAACTTAATTATCAATATTAAAGTAGAGTAAATGTGACCCTTCTATCACGTTCTGAAATCTGGACAATGTAAGCCAGGCGTCAGAGTGGAGGAAGGAGGGCAGGCATTGTTGTTTGAGACTAGACCAGAGGCTCACACGGGAGCAAATTCGGCTCCTGTTAAATTTACTTGGACGTAGTGTTATGGAACCCAAAGGTGTACCATTGTCAACACGCTGTCTACAAATACAAGTTAAGTGTCTATCCGAAACCCGTTTATCATTCATTTATGGCCATTAATGTCAGGATATAGGGTTAGCCGGTTAGAACGCGAAATCGCCTCATACTAAAGGTAATTAAGCCAGGTCTTTAATGTTCCATGTACTGTATAGTGTTTTCTCTGATATAGCTTGTCATATATAGGATTCTGGCTTCACAGCTAGCGCACTTTTGACAGGTCAAGACGAGGATGCAAGATTATGTGCACCAGTTACTGGGTGATAGAAGCTACCTCAAAGAGGATAATTTGGTGTCTACACTCTAGTTATACCTGGTGGACTAACCTGCTGTACTATAAGAGAAGGAACCTCATCAATGTATGTAGCTATTACTGTAATTTGATTGGCTGCATATGTGTAATATAAACCCCCCCTAATGTGTAGAGGATCGATTTGTGAGATTATGAGATTATTGCAGAAATACAGTCCACTTAACATTATACAAATTGCTATCGAAGTATATAAATTAACGTAAATATAAATTCATATAAATTAAATAAATATAAATCTCACAGGTCGGTTCCCACATTATATGGTCATCTTCGAACCGGATGACGGATTATTTGATCCTTTGAACCCACATTTGGTCATCTTAGTACCGGATGAACCAGTTAACCAGTGGATTCATTAAATATACTAGTGCAGTGTTATTTAAACAAAGCCAGCAGTCAAGACGGCAGCGTAGCCTCGAGGGAGCTCAGGAGCCTCCCTCAGCCCAGTTCAGCTTCGTCAGCGGTTTCATGCACACCCACAGATATTTGGTGGCGTGTTATTTCGTGAAATGACAGCGCTAATATAGAATCCAGCCAAATTAGTGACTGTGTCTTCGCGAGATTGTTCACGGATTTCGTGGTGTTACATTTCGCGAGAGATTATCTACGAATTTTGTGGACTTTATTTCGCGAGGTCACTAATAATATTTAATACTTCTAGATAATATTAGAAGTTTCATAGAGGCTAATTAAGAGGCTATTATCAATAATTGTATATATTATTTCTCCAAATAGAGAATTATTTAATATAAATTGCACTAGTGATCACAGTATAATATTTACTAATTGCCAACCCACAACAGGGTAGGATATTACCATTGACTAGTTGAACTATTATCGTTCATCCTAGTCCCATTATTACCATAGTCAGTTGTACTATATTCAACAACTTAGCACCATTAATGAATGGTGCAGACCCTATTTTGGGTGTAATTATTATCAACTCGAATTGAGTTGTATATATAATAATTTACTTATGATCATTACACCTTTGAGTGATTAATTAGTGTCTCTACCAACCTAGGGTGATATAGAAGAGCTAACCTAAAGGTACTTCCAGTGACACTGGTTTATCACTCAAATCATTAGTGTGGATGATTGTGTATATATAATGTGTATTAATTTTAAGTGCTAACCTCTAGTAGAGGTAGGATTATTGCCTAGTGAGTGCAGAATTTACCCTAGGCTACCATTAGTGTTTGTTCAGTATTATGAGCAGCCCAAGTACAAGCCCCACAAGGCTTCACCAACTAGCCAGTATGGATAATGCAGGGAGAATGAAAAGAACCCTTGCAGGTCTTAAAGGCCACTTAACAAGACAGATCAAGAAATGTGAAGATTTGTCACAACAATCAACAGTTGATTATGCTGACCTGGAAAGCTATTATCAAGCAGCTGCAGGTAAATTTGAACAAATCAAATGCCAAATGGCTGTCCTTGTGGGGACAGACTACTACCATCAATTCATCGGTAGCCCTACTAAATATCAGGGTATAACCATGTTAAACTCTGCAGGAGGTAAATTACTCTCAGGCCCAGTATCAAGCCTGAGGAGACCTATGCCTGCAGATAAACAATACCAGTAGAAATCTAAATTTGTCAGCTGATTATATTTCTCCAGTAGCATTATACTAAGGAGATTACAGTTGACTATACCAACAGAGGTTGATGTTAGTATCATCATTTAAAGCTGGAGATGAGTTCATGAGGCCTCAGTGGCAAATCAGTGAACAGTAGCCTAACAGCTACAAGTCACTCCGACCAATGTCACTGAAACCACTGCAGTCTCAGAACCATACTTTACTTTAATGATGAGCTATTCAATCTTCTGAGTCAATTAACTAAATTAAACCCTAATAAATCTGATGACTGATTTGATACATTTATTATTTAATCAAGATGTATTCCATGGGCCTCAGTGTTTATATATCAGTGACCAGTTACCTGAAGAAACTTCAAGTTATATCTAATGTCACTGATCTCACTGCAGTCCCTGAATCATACTTTACTGTAGTACTTGATCACATCCAGTCTTCTGGGTTAAATAATATGTAATAAGGCTTGAATATTAGCCTTTCAAGAGTTGACAGGGAAATGAAATCGCATTAGACTTCTAACCCCTGCAACTCTAGTACGGGACATCCGTCCTGTACGAACAGACACACAAATGTGTGATTACTAACTACTAACATCAAATTAATCTAATAATCCGAAGGAGGAGTATCGGTGTTCGTCTGTTCTAAATAGGACTTCGACCCGTGAGCAGCCCCCTGGGGAATTATGTCGGAAAATCCGACACCATTTAATATATCATACAGATAATAGCTGTATTACCAACAAGTTACCCATAGAAAACGTAACTTGTAGTGGAATTACCGTCTATAGAAAACGGGATATCATCACCACATACTATTATAATTCACCAGCTATTCTGCTGGGAATTATTCTTAAATACATTAGTCTTTGGACTTTACCATCATAAAAACATCTTATATAAATTAACTTAATTATCAATATTAAAGTAGAGTAAATGTGACCCTTCTATCACGTTCTGAAATCTGGACAATGTAAGCCAGGCGTCAGAGTGGAGGAAGGAGGGCAGGCATTGTTGTTTGAGACTAGACCAGAGGCTCACACGGGAGCAAATTCGGCTCCTGTTAAATTTACTTGGACGTAGTGTTATGGAACCCAAAGGTGTACCATTGTCAACACGCTGTCTACAAATACAAGTTAAGTGTCTATCCGAAACCCGTTTATCATTCATTTATGGCCATTAATGTCAGGATATAGGGTTAGCCGGTTAGAACGCGAAATCGCCTCATACTAAAGGTAATTAAGCCAGGTCTTTAATGTTCCATGTACTGTATAGTGTTTTCTCTGATATAGCTTGTCATATATAGGATTCTGGCTTCACAGCTAGCGCACTTTTGACAGGTCAAGACGAGGATGCAAGATTATGTGCACCAGTTACTGGGTGATAGAAGCTACCTCAAAGAGGATAATTTGGTGTCTACACTCTAGTTATACCTGGTGGACTAGCCTGCTGTACTATAAGAGAAGGAACCTCATCAATGTATGTAGCTATTACTGTAATTTGATTGGCTGCATATGTGTAATATAAACCCCCCCTAATGTGTAGAGGATCGATTTGTGAGATTATGAGATTATTGCAGAAATACAGTCCACTTAACATTATACAAATTGCTATCGAAGTATATAAATTAACGTAAATATAAATTCATATAAATTAAATAAATATAAATCTCACAGGTCGGTTCCCACAATTCGCATATATTCCTGGGGACCATTCAGGCTTGTTCGCATATATATATATATATATATATATATATATATATATATATATATATATATATATATATATATATATATATTAGTATATTCTGGTGGCAGTTTTTCCTGTAGGCATATACTATTGAATGTGCCCGAAAGAGTGAGATCAATGATGCTAACCCGAATCATCTCTATTTTCCTTACATTTGTCTTCGCTTGATAAGGAAGTTGAAAAAAAATTAACACTCCAAAGTATATTTTTTACAACTTCATTTGGATTGACGTTGAGAGATACGTTCCGTTAATTCTCATTAACATTGTGAAAAGCAGATTTTTTATGGTTACAAAGATGTTGTTGTTATTATAGATTTAGCTACTCGGAACAAGTTCCAAGTAGCACGGGCTATGGTGAGCCCATAGTGGACTTACCTGGCACAGGAGCGGGGCTGTCGTTACAAAGTCTCTCGCTGCATCATATATACCCGAGGATGAGGGGGAAGGGAATGAGGGGAAAGTCATGCACTTCACTTACAGACCCCCTTGTACATTGTCAATCTGCAGTGTGCATGATGGCTGGGGCAGTATGTACGTATGTCCCGTCGTGTTCTGGAACTGGCCACAGTGTGTAATTTGGTGCTAGTTGGCTATTGATTCGTGGCATGGTTCGCTTGGTGTATGGTGCCTTAATAATGTCTAGTTTTCTGTTTCAGAAGAAAATATAAGTATTGTTAGGCATCTTGAAAGGGTGTTGTTGTTGTTGTCTTGTCTATATATTGAAATCACAGGGGGCTGACAGTCCCCAAGTGGGCATGTGAAGGTGTGGACAACATTGGTCTCTTTCAAGCGGTTTTGTTTGGTGTCAGGAAAGTTCTTCGTCAGCAAGTTGACAGTCTTCTGGCTCTTATAGTATATTATTAGTTCAGTCTTATGGTTGGTGTCAGTAGAGGTCACAAGGAAAGTCATTATTGATAGAAATTTTGAAATAAATATTGATAGAAATGTTGAAAGAAATATTGATAGAAATTATTTTTATACAAAATCATTATTGATACAGAGAGAGAGAGAGCGAGAGAGAGAGAGAGAGAGAGAGAGAGAGAGAGAGAGAGAGAGAGAGAGAGAGAGAGAGAGAGAGAGAGAGAGAGAGAGAGAGAGAGAGAGAGAGAGAGAGAGAGAGAGAGAGAGAGAGAGAGAGAGAGAGAGAGAGAGAGAGAGAGAGAGAGGAAATAAGGAGAAAGAGAAGAATAGTACAGAAATTTCCGTAGCCATTACATAATTCTCTTTGGTGCTCAGAGGAGGCCACGTGTCGCCCTGTCTCGACCTTTTCCAACCTATGGTTCTATCTTTGTGCGTCCTCCTCTGTACTCCTCTCTCTCTCTCCCCACCAGGGTTTACGACAGGTTAACACAATTAATAACTTGTAATGTACAGACCAGTGCCCAGGGCACCAAGCATAGTGGGCTTGAATACTGAACATGTCCCCTTGTTCTTCCCTGCCTAATACTGAACATGTCCCCTTGTTCTACCCTGCCTAATACTGAACATGTCCCCTTGTTCTTCCCTGCCTAATACTGAACATGTCCCCTTGTTCTTCCCTGCCTAATACTGAACATGTCCCCTTGTTCTTCCCTACCTAATACTGAACATGTCCCCTTGTTCTTTCCTGACTTATACTGAGCATGTCCCCTTGTTCTTCCCTGCCTAATACTGAATATGTCACTTTGTTCTACCTAGCCTTATACCGAGCATGTTCCCTTGTTCTACCATGTCTTATGATTCCATGTGTCTTTTATCTGCGCCATAAATATTGCCCCAAGGATCTAATATGTTGTTATCATGTCTCATCAATTTCGCCTTTCTTAAAGATTTAAGATCCTTTTGCTACATCCAATTACTCTAATTGGATCTTCACTTCTTGAATGCCTCGTCTATGTTTTTAATAGTGCTACTAATTGGTTGTGTTTTGTGGTAGTTTCTTTCAATTTTAAAAAGCTTTCTACTGACTTTCACATATACAGAAAGATACAGCATAAAATCAGATACAGTTACATATCTGATTTTATGCAAAAAATTAACATTAAGAGGACACAAAAAAAAAGTTCGCTTCCTAGAGGCTGTAGATTTCCTCGAACTCCTCCGACGCCGGGCAGGAACCGAGGATGCAGCGAGCATTCCCCCTCTGGATCGCGACACTGAGGCGCTGAAAGAGAAAACTTGCTGCTCTAGGGTCTCTTGTGGTGTCAATGAGCTTGGAACCAAGATCCTTAAGACAGCATATATATTTGAGCTCTACTTGAGCGCTCGCCCTCCGGTTTGTATTCACACGAATTACAGAGTGAGAATTGAGTCCCGTACCTCAATGTGGGGTTCCCAGGAGTTACCCCTTCAATTAGAGCATTGAGAATTGAGCTCTTTGAGCCCCTTGTCTCTCCAGCACGAGCACAAACACTGCCCATCTCGCTGGCAACATCGTGGCAATGTCGTATGTTTTCTCCCCCCAATTTTAGCGAGGACTGTTATTTTAATATATCAAAAGGGAATTACGAGCCGTTTATGGATGTGGTAGCACTGACCGGGGTGAGGTATGGATGGCTAGTTGGCAACAGTGGTGGAGGGGTGGGGGTGGTGGTGGTGGGGATGGGGGTTGGGGTGGGGGTTGGGGTGGGGGTGGTGGTTGGGGTGGTGGTGGTGTTGGTGGTGGTAGTGGTTGTGGTATTGATGGTGTTGGGGGGGTGGGTGGTGGGGGTGGTAGTGGTAGTGGTGGTGGTGGTGGTATTGATGGTGTTGGTGGTGGTGGTGGTGGTGTTAACGGTAGTGGAAGTGTTGATGGTGATAGTGGAGTGGCTGGTAGTGTTGGTGGTTGTGGTGGAGGGGGTTGATAGTGATAGTAGTGGTGGTGGTGGTGGAGGGATTCATGCTGAAGGGCACTTCCCTCCGCCATGGTCAATATGAACCTCCCTCTGTTTACTTTTCTCCGCCCCCCCCCTCCCCCTCACCCCTCCCCCTCCCCCCTCCCCCTCCCTCCCCCTCCCCCCCCCCCCAATATTACCCGGACTATTTACCGTTGCCCGTGTCGAGGTGAGTAAACATCACGGTGTATTTCCTCCTTCTATTTAAATACTGAAGATAATATTAACCAGACCAATAATTTACAACAATTATAATTATTATTTTTACACTCCACTTCCCTCGCCTGAATGTTGTAGTAATGTATAATGGATTTATTCCCCAGGGTGAAGAATATATTCCCCAGGGTGAGGAATATATTCCCCAGGGTGAGGAATATATTCCCCAGGGTGAGGAATATATTCCCCAGGGTGAGGAATATAATCCCCAGGGTGAGGAATATATTCCCCAGGGTGAGGAATATAATCCCCAGGGTGAGGAATATATTCCCCAGGGTGAGGAATATATTCCCCAGGGTGAGGAATATAATCCCCAGGGTGAGGAATATATTCCCCAGGGTGAGGAATATATTCCCCAGGGTGAGGAATATATTTCCCAGGGTGAAGAATATATTCCCCAGGGTGAAGAATATATTCCCCAGGGTGAAGAATATATTCCCCAGGGTGAAGAATATATTCCCCAGGGTGAAGAATATATTCCCCAGGGTGAAGAATATATTCCCCAGGGTGCAAGAATATATTCCCCAGGGTGAAGAATATATTCCCCAGCATGAAGAATATATTCCCCAGGGTGAAGAATATATTCCCCAGCGTGAAGAATATATTCCCCAGGGTGAAGAATATATTCCCCAGGGTGAAGAATATATTCCCCAGGGTGAAGAATATATTTCCCAGGGTGAAGAATATATTCCCCAGGGTGAAGAATATATTCCCCAGGGTGAAGAATATATTCCCCAGGGTGAAGAATATATTCCCCAAGGTGAAGAATATATTCCCCAGGGTGAAGAATATATTCCCCAGGGTGAAGAATATATTCCCCAGGGTGAAGAATATATTCCCCAGGGTGAAGAATATATTCCCCAGGGTGAAGAATATATTCCCCAGGGTGAAGAATATATTCCCCAGGGTGAAGAATATATTCCCCAGGGTGAAAAATATATTCCCCAGGGTGAAGAATATAATCCCCAGGGTGAGGAATATATTCCCCAGGGTGAGGAATATATTCCCCAGGGTGAAGAATATATTCCCCAGGGTGAAGAATATATTCCCCAGGGTGAAGAATATATTCCCCAGGGTGAAGAATATATTCCCCAGGGTGAAGAATATATTCCCCAGGGTGTACACACAGCGATTACAGCCTCAACACATCCCGGTACTCCAATTAAATTAAAAGGATTAAACATTCTTAATGGTAAAGTTTTTAATATTAGCTTTCTTAAAGAGTAAACAGAACTCAACCTAACCTTCTTGAACAGCACGTCATATTTTGACGTATAAGTCCCCCCTCCCCCCCTCCCCCCCTCCCCTTAGGGTCCAAAACTAACGTACTATAAGTCACAACGGCTGGCAAAATTGACGTGATCCGTTCCCGTTTTCAATTGGTGGGTCTTATGGTATGTTAGATTCGGGCAATTTTAGTACCATCACCTTAGCGACGTTGACAGCGGTAGAGAGGATGGACTGGACTTTCGGCTTGGAGTGTTGTTGTGGGTTGTCTATGATTCATTCTGGTTAGGCCAAGCCATTATATATATATATTATATATATATATATATATATATATATATATATATATATATATATATATATATATATATATATATATATATATATATATATATATATATATATATATATATGTCGTACCTAATAGCCAGAACGCACTTCTATGCCTACTACTCAAGGCCCGATTTTGCCTAATAAGCCAGTTTTCATGAATTAATTGTTTTTCGACTACCTAACCTACCTAACCTAACCTAACCTAACTTTTTCGGCTACCTACCTAACCTAACCTATAAAGATAGGTTAGGTTAGGTTAGGTAGGGTTGGTTAGTTCGGTCATATATCTACGTT